TCAGAAAATGTCGATATATATTAGTGAGTGTAAGGGTGATGTGTGTGTGGGGGGGGGTGAACAATAAACTAAAATGTTTAAATTGTTTCTAAATCAACCTTTTATTTCTTCTCATTCACTTTTTCATGTTTTCTATATAACCTACTCTAGATACTACTCATAATAGTAGTATGTGTGAAATTCTTTTGAGAAATGACCATTTACTAATGAATATATATATATAGAGAGAGAGGGGGGAGAGGGAGAGGATTATGATGTATACACTGAAAGTTGAAAATACTGAGTCACGAACATTTAGTGCTTATTTTCTATCTTCTTTACAAGGTGAAAGAATATAATTAATATTGTCTGATTGAGGAATTATCTCCCGTTTCTTTTTTTAAATTGATAATTGAAATAATGGTTATTTCTATTAATTTACTTTTTTTAAAATATAGATTTGTAGTTTGGAAGGGTTCTTTCTTAGTTTATATTAATCACTTGTTTCTTATGTAAAATCAATTGATGGAAATGTCATTGAAATATTGTGGATAACTGTGCGAAGTGAAATTGCGATACTTTTTTGTAAACACACTGTCCAAATGTTACAGAATATTCGGTATTCAACGTCGATTTCATGTTTATTGTTGTATTTTTTTCATGTCTTTTGTGTCTCATCAGGTTACACCTGCGAACTTTTTTTTACCAATGATCAAAACTAGAAGATTCAGATTCACTGTGAACATATGTTACAATATTAGTTATGATGAATATATGTATTGTGTACATATATCAGTCTATTTCCTTTTCAAAGTACAACACCAAATAGTATAGTATGGAAGTAGGCTGGCAGAATGCTATAGACGGCTATTGAATAAAATGTCATTATTCTATGCAATCGATGACCAATGGAATACGCCTGATTGTGGTATGTTATATGCACGTCATCTGTAGATCGTAATACCGAACAAGATATTTGAAAATTAGTTACTGCAGTGAAGTTGCATTACTTACTTACGCCTGTTACTCCCAATGGAGCTGCCGACTAGCATTCTCCAACTCATCCTGTCATGGGCATTCCTTTCTAGTTCTATCCAACTTTTCTTCATTCTTCTCATGTCTGTCTCCATTTCTCGGAGTAATGTGTTCTTAGGTCTTCCTTTTCTCCTCTGGCTTCGAGGATTCCATGTTAGGGCTTGCTTTGTGGCGCAGTTGGGTGCTTTCCTCAATGTGTCTCATATCCACTTTCAGCGACTCTTCGTGATTTCTTTCTCCGCTAGAATCTGGTTTATTGTCTTCCACAGCAGGATGTTGCTGGTAGTGTCTAACAACGGATCAGAAGTATCTTGCGTAGACAATTGTTAATAAACACCAGTATCTTCTGGATGATGGCTTTCGTAGTTCTCCAAGTTTCCGCCCCACACAGTAGAACTGTCTTGACTCCATCTGCAGCTTCTCCAGGGGCTACCGCCGGTCCCAAGCCCGGATAAAGGAGGAGGATTGGGCATGGGGTTAGCGACACCATCCCGTAGAAAACTAACTCGCTAAAAAAAGGCTAACCAGTGAAGTTGCATTGCTGTGTAATTTTTTATCATATATTGAGTTCAACGTCGTACATTCTGTTTAAAATATGCCTCCTGTGATTAACTTCTCAATGAACTCAATGTTATTTCTCCCATTCTGTCAAACATTTTATAAGATTCCTGATAAGTCTGCCAATTTAGCGCTCGGTTTGATTTATCTAATTACAAGGTCTGGCGATAAAGATTTCTTTGACTATCAAAGTAAATCTAAAGGATTTATGAATGCTTCGTGTTTGATACGATTTATCTACAATTAGAATAACAATCAGATTTGTATAAATTAAATGGAGTTGTATTTAAAAATAATAATTCAATAACTTACTATATTAACCACTATACTATACATTAAAGCATCTTTAATCCTTCCAAGGATTTCTATACATAGGGCATGCTATTGGAAAAGAGACATTAATATATCATTCTCATTCCAATCGGTTAAAGCATAGCTCACTATATCAATTTCTGTCTCATTATGCTGATGTCAGGTGAGGCAATTTGAATCGGTAAAACATATTCATGTACATGTACTTACTCATCTATAACTAATAGATTAACTTACGTTTTGTCTTAATCATTTAGTTTCCTTAATTAGTTTTTTGAAATCAAGAACACCTTACTAAAGAGAAGGAAACACTCTTTTATCTTGTTTTTTTTTCAAATTCAGATTATAGTTTAGATTACTTTATCAGTTAATATCCCTTTTATAAGTTAGAAATTAGTAACTCTAGTATTAATTGTCAAGCAAATTATTCGCAACTCAAGAGACTGAGTCACTGAATCATTTTTACTTAAAATGACAACTTTATAATTCAAACCATGAATTCACTTGGTATTGCTTTTTTGAATCTTCCCACTGATGGTTAGAACTGCAATCACAAGTGGCTATAAGTAGCTGAGTGAATAATGCGATGGCGTTCGAAGCAAATGGTACTGGGTTCGAGTCCCGTAGTGGACATTAAATCTGAGATGCAGGTGCATCCAGCTGACGAGTCCCAAATAAGACGAAACCTGAGTCCTGGATTCCACTGCTAACCACTATCCATCTTTGTTCAAACCATGAATGTTGAAGATTTAAGCACAGGTTAACGACAATGTCTTGAATATTCAATAACAGCTTAAAATCACACTATACTCTTACGTATATTTTGTACAGAATACTGTGAATAAGATATGAATGCATATCAATGAAGTGTCTAAAAAGTAATAATCAGACAGAAAATGGGTTAATTTTTCTCAAAATTTTCAAGTCTTCATATGAGCTAAATGTCGGATTATGCGTTCATATAACTCCGAAAAGTATGTATGTTGGGTGTAGGATTCGAGCCGACGTCCGTTTCAGACTGTTGCCTGAATCCAGCGCCTTAGACATCTTGGTCACACAACAACTCACTCTGGGAAGAAAGAGGGTTGTCGAAAAGATAAAAAAATACATTTCTAGTTATCAAACGTTCTTCATCTATTTATGCCTATTTATAAACAATAGAAAACTAGGAAATTGTCATATCAAGATGATAAATAATATCTCCATCATTTATAATACTGTTATTGTAAAAGTATTAGTTCAATAGTCTATAATACGAGAAGTCTATAATATAAAAACTAATATAAGTGATATATATATATATATATATATATATATATATATTTATACCCCCTCATATTTCGAAGACTAAATATTCGGTTAACCAATCAATCCATACAAACAAATATTCTCTGATGGAACTAAAGAAGAAGAGTTATTCCAAGAATCCTTTTAAATCAAATCTTCATCTGCAAAGATGGATAGTGTCTAGCAGTGCAATCCAGGTCGCGCGTTTCGTCATATTTGGGACTCGTCAGCTGGATGTACCTGCATCTCAGAGTTGATGTTCACTTTGGGACTCAAACCCAGTACCATTCGCTTCAAATGCCATCACATTATCCACTTAACTACTGAGTCCTGATAGCCACCTGCCAATGCAGTGGGGTGACGTTATATTCACTTGGTGTTGTTTACTTATATCTTTCCATTTTTGTTTAGGACTGCATTTGATCAGTCTCTTATTGGCATATGTGCATACTGTGCGGACTGCCTCGATCTTGCCTGAAGATACAAGTGAACACATCTTCATATGTTTTATAATCTGAATAATTGATGAAATAAGCACATTCTATCTTAGTTTTAATTTTTCTATCAAACAAACGAAGATAGAGTAACTCTTAATTTCATTGGATAATTAACTATCAGCCAATCATAAATTAGTTAATTTATTAATTCATAAGTAAATTAGTTTCAAAAATTTAGCCAATTACTAGTTAAGTTTTATTTTATCCCTCATTTTAATCATTACATTTTAACAAAATGAAAATATAGAAAGGGAGAAACAAGGTAGGATAACTTTACTAGATTATTCTAATAATCTCTCTCTTTCAAAAAAGACAAACAAAAACAAACGAGAATAAACGGAAAGAATTATGAGATTACTTTCTCTTCCCTATTTATATTTATTCTTCCCCATGTTATGAAATAAGTATCTGTGGCTTCCTCCAATTGTTGATTAGACAAAACAACAAACATAATTCACCAGTAATTAATAGGGAAAATTAAATTGATAATTTTATTAATTTTTTTTCTTCATTCTTTATCGTAAATACACATCATTCCTTCCTTTAATGTAAACTGGTAAGTTAATGTACAGAATATATTAGACTTAGTTGTATTCTATTTATCTCGTTAGTTATTTATTGATTATGGGATTTAGGGAAATTAACTTCAATTTCATATTATTATTTGGGGAACTATTCAAAACCAGTAAGTATTAGAGTTTTGGATTCCACTGAAGAACATACCGACCACACTATACTAATATGAAGATCGTATGATAAGGCTATATTTACAAAGTAAAACCATTTTTTAACCGAATGTTTGGTAGGATGAACTTCCCTGTCTCTTTAACTAGTTGTTTATTGACTTTTCAAGTTTTGATCATCCATATATAGTTGGGTCCCAAAACTTTAATTCCAGTAATTTTTCGATAACTTAGTGTCTACATATTCTTCGCTTCTAAGCTACGGGCTGTTGGACTTCCAAAAATAGTTTGCATGGTACCCGAATCTACATGAAAACTGGATATCCTGGGTATAGTTGATGTTGAGGTCATTAATGTCTCAAATTAAGACGAAACAGCTGTTCAGTTTTAATCAGCTTCCCCAATTATCATTTAGCCGACACAGTACATGACAAAACATTTTGGCATACGTAAGTTAATTAGTCTGTACTCAATATTACAAAAATGATGAATGAATGAAAACTAAGATAATATGCCATTTCATTTTATGTTATTACAGTGTTTAAACACATAATAGTTCGAGAAAAAGACATATGAAATAGATCTAATCTTTGATTACGAAAAAATATAATCAGTTCTCTATTCAACAATGTATTCTAACGTAATGACTCTTGTAGATCTCAAATCACGGCTATCGCTGTTGAACACATATAGAATCGATGTCTTTTCAAACGAATAGTTCAAAAGAAATGTCAAACTGTTATAACACAGTTTCAAGTAATACACCTTCAATAAATTTCCATATTCAACAATTACTACACTCATCAAACAATGATACTACTTCAAATGATTTGAGCTTAAAAAGAAATATAAGTACAACAACAACAGAGAACAGATATAGTTCCGGGGGAAAACATCCGACAGTTTCATTGAATGAATCTCACTATACATTAAGTCCAAATAAAAAAGATCAATCCGATACAAATACATCAATTACACAATTATTGAATAATTATGATCCAGAAAAACTTTCATTATTTACAAAATTAACACAAAATTTATGTAGAGATCTTACTGAAATACCATCTGAATTACAAAGTTTTTTAAAGGCCAAATTGGACATTACAAAACTTCTTCATTATCTTCAAGAATCTTATGATAAAGATGTGAATAGCCTGAGAAAAAAGTTATTTACCAATGAACAAAATCATCATCATCATCAGTATCGTCACCATAACTACCCTCATGACCTTGATGGTGATAATGGACAAGGTGAAGAATATGAGGATAATTTGAAAATTATTAAGAATTTAATAAAAGATTATATGGAAAGTAAAGAAATTGGGTTAAAAACTCAACCACAACAGGATGAATTGAAATCTTCCATGTTCTATTCAAACAATAATAGTAATAATAATAATATGAATGAGAATGATGTAAAATATGCACAAAAAGTTTATGAATTTTTAACAAATGAATATGGAACTCATAACTTATTACCATTTATGTTACATAATCCTGGTAAGTTGAATGATTTAAACATGCTAGTTTTACATACTTATAGTTTGACAGTAACTAATCGATTAGTTTTCTGTACTGTTCGACTCTTAGTGATTAATTTTGATAATGATGTCTATGAGGCTAAAGTGGAACAATTATCTATTGAGAAGTTTTGACTAAAACATAATTCGGTTCCAGTATTTTCTGTCGAGTACTCCTAAATAATTAATAGCTCTGTATCTATTATAATTGTTGACTGCTTAGTAGATAGAACTAAAACACAATGTTTTTTTGGTTATATTTCATCGCACTGATCCTCCACATGATTCGAACTCTTCTCATACACCTAATGAAGGCTCTAAGGATCTGAGCCAACAAACAAAATCTCTATGTTCAGAAATTAAAGAATAAAACATGATATTTAACAATAACTGATAGTGGTTTGATCCTTTCTAAAAATTACTTACCTTTAAATACCCAAATTATAAGAAGGAACATTACACTACTGCTATACTATACTGATAGATGAAGTTATTTTAGTTTGAGAAAACTTTTCAGACATAATCTTAAATTAGAAAATAAGAGCGGTCACTTACTACTTATTACTTGTTGTCATTAAGGTTAATATTTCGATCAGTGAACTTAAATCTTATGCAAATAAATTATTACTAATTTGTTAATTATAAGTAAACATATCAATGTTTACCAGTGTGAACACTATGAGCTTTATAACTAAATGACTGCGTTCTTATTTTTCTCAAACAAAACGGTATGCCATGTTTGAGGGAAATTGTTCTACTACTTTAATAACCAAAGCTTGTGTGTTTCAAGAAACCGTTCTTTCTCACTTATTTCCTTCCATTTTTATCGTACAACCTACTGTCTACTACATAAGAACGTTTTTTTTTAAAATATGCAAACAATCTTACAATATGTATGTCAGTTTCTTTCTCTTCAAATTCCTTTAAAATGAATGACGTCTTAGAGCACATTGAACTATATTCTATTCTAAATGATCTTACATTCAACCTTTCTAGATATCATACTGTTAAATTTAGTCTAGGCCATGAACATCACCTACATTCACTACCAAAACTGAATATCTCTTTGAGCGATTGAAGATTCTGTCTAAGTTATTGTATAAAAAGGCTACGTATTTCGATTATCACTCGAAATTTAACTTTACGATTTCTGCATTTTTGTACATTAGTTAGTACCATCTACAGTTCGATGTTGTTTTTTTCTTGGACATTTGAAAGATTTCGCTTTAATGGATAGTGTATTAAAATTAATAATTAGGATAAGCGATGAAACTTGAGAAGTTCTCATAAATTTATTTGTGAATAAAGAAACAACTTGTAGACGTTATCCTACTAGAAATAAACGATCCACTTCATTCATATCTTCTCTCGTTGCATATCTCATGGCAGAACAAGAATCATCATAATTAGATTCATATAGTAAATAAAGTATAAAGAATACGACAGCGTATCTACCATTATACGACGAAAAATGAATAAGTTCCAGGTTATCCAAACATCCTAATTGTTGAATAAATATGCTTGTTAGTCATCATTGTAACGATTTCTCATCTTTCCTTTTAATTAAATAAATAAATATTTATGTTCAAGAGCGTAACTCCGCCTGAAGCCCTCCTAAAGTTACCCTCGGTCCCAAGCCCGGGTGAAAAGATATGACTAAGCATGGGATTAGGAACCATATCCCACAGAAAAGAACCTTTTGAAAAAAATGCCAATGTTGGTGTTCAAGGGTATATATATAGATATATTGTAACATTTCTGATAAGTAAGAGGATGTAGTTCAAATATCTTCTGACAAACATTTAACTTAACATAGATATTTCCTTTCTTTTCTTTAAATTCTGGATTATTCAATGCTTATTACAAGTATCAGTAAACATATACTTTAAAAACTTCATGAAATAATCCCTTCCAGTATGTATGCAAGATTTCGATGGATATATCAGTTGAAAGCTTGGACAACTAATTTGAAAATGATGAAAGTTTCATCTATTTTAACTTCAAAACAGCAGTATCTTTCAAGTTTATTTAGATGAATAGTTCTCCAGTCCAAGAGTACAAACCTGTTCTTTATCAATAAATTTCACTGTATTTGTCATGATGAAGATTTGTATCTCAGGATTAAGAAGTCGAAGATGTTTTGTTCCCCTGAGTTCTTTGAATTATTTCATGATAATATCTTCCAGAAAAATAATGAAAAATTCACGATTAAATCATTCATTTTAGTGAATATAACCTAACCAAAAGATTTAGATGATGATAAACAAGCTAGTTTGTTTAAAGTAATTTCAACAAACCAATGACATTCCAGTTAATGATATTATCCAGGACAACAATAAGGAATTCCTCAATCAAACCAGTCAAATCAGAGAACACAACATCATTAAAATCTGAAAACCCTCGTTATTATTCCAATATCTACTTCTTGTGAAACAGAACCACTACTTACTTTCACTTTATATTACACTACAATGTTTTTGTTCAGTAACTAACTAACACAATGTATAATACTTAAGCTTTTCATCCATCAGAAGACATTCAAAGTACGTCCCTATTATTTCATACTACAGAAAAATGTTAGAAAGCAGTTGATTCAATGAAGACCACTTTTTTTAATATCACCTAAAGCAATACAAACTGAATATTTCCAGATTAAAGACTTACCTATGATATATTTTTCTACTAAATCTTAAGGAACATTCAAGAAGAAATAGAGGTTAGACATTACTGATCACTGTATTGTCCCATCTAGTTTTAACTAGTTAATTCACTACATACTAGTTCATCATGCCGATAGTATTTTGTACTGAGTTTATTATATGGTACTGAAAATTTACTACTTTTATTTAACTCGGGTACAAATTCCCTTTACTAATGTTTATCTACCTCAATTTTAATGTTAAAAATAATTTTATTTTAGTGTCTGGTTATTCTTCAATACAAATTTACAATAGAAATACAATCTCGTCGAAACAATGTCGACGTCGTAAAGCACGAACTGTGTTTAGTGATCAACAATTAAATGGTTTAGAGCATCGTTTTGAAACACAACATTATTTATCTACACCAGAACGTATTGAATTAGCGAATCGATTAAATTTATCAGAAACTCAAGTGAGTTATTACTTTTTTTGGTTGTTTTTTGTCCGAAAGAAGTTTTGTGGAGGTTTTAATAATTTTATAATTGAAATCATGAATCAATTGAAGCTAGACCACCATGGAAAACCTGAAAGCACTGGACGGCCATTTTATCCTAATGCGGAACTCCTCTGGAGTTCCATTATAGAATGAAACGGCTGTCACTTTTCAATTCACTTTTATTGATAATATTACAATACCTAACATATACAGGCCAATATGGTTAAAAGGATTTTTTTACTGTCTTCATCAAATTAATGTATCTAAATACACATTTTTATATACATGTACGAATTAAACTGAAAAGTTTTGTGCTTCAACTTTCATAATAATCAAGATAGTATGTTTATAGTGACTGTTCAGTTTAAGAACAATCTAAATTACGAACTGAATTTATCTAAACACCCACTGAAAACTTGAAGCATAAGAATGTTTTTTTTCATTCCCTAATATTACGAAATGACTGAATATGTAAATATAAACCATCTCATTGGTTTAAAAGTAGCTTGTTACATTTAAGACCTGAAGAAATCCGGTTTAATTCGTAATGGGGTAGTGAGTTAACATCGCTGACGAGTCCCATTCCAGGTCCAGATGACTTCCCAGTTATCTCATTGTTTTCAATGATCATATAGCTAAAGACAGCTTAGGATGACAACTCTCTCAAAATTTGATAGACGGTTAAGTTAAGAACTGGAAAACAACAAATTTTTTATCAATATTTTAACTTGCTTCCAATGGTCCCTAGTATCTACTGAAAACTAAAAACTGATACTATTCACAATCAGGTGATCTAATAACACATTCTGACTGATAGACAGTTTTATAAATAGCTGTTTAATAGGTTTTCTGTTGATAAAATCTCATCATTAATCAACGTGATCCGAGAAACGAAGAACAATAGAAAGACGTTTCTTTTGAGTTCAGGACTACAGAATGAAGAACAATTATAATCATAATATGGGGTCGAATCCAGAACTTTCAAGTCTTTCAGTTAGTTTAATATATTTATATCCCTTAGTTCGAAACCAGAGTGTTTTATGTTTCCTAACGTTAGCCACTTTGTGATAAATAGCACAATTCATATCCATTGTTACTCATCTCGTCATCTCGTATGATTGGCCCATATAAATGTTATGGATTTCCATTAGGACTTGAAGATAACCACCTAAAATTTAATCACTAGTAACCTTGATGACAATTTTTTCTAAAGTGTATAAAGTATGTACTTGTATCAGTAGAGAATAAATTACTATCTTATCAAATCTCATTATGATTTCCTTTACATGTTAAATAATTTAACTCAACTGAATGTTTTGTTTAAAAGGTAAAAACTTGGTTTCAAAATCGACGTATGAAGCACAAAAAGTTAAAGCGCAGTATACCAGATTTACAATTTACACAAAATAATTCATCTTCCAGATGTCAAAGTTCTACAGGAGACGATGATAGATGTTCAAGTGTAGAAGACAACGTCAATATCAATATTTCTTTAACATCGAATGGGATTATGTTTTCCTCTTCATCATCATCATCTACCATAAACGAAATAATTGATATGACATCAGGTCGTAGAATTCAAAAAAATCAAGACAATCATTGTGATGTAGACACGGAAGTCAATAAAAAAGAATTTCATGGTAATTATGTTCAGAATAACATTGGAAACTGTAATTTATTCTCGAAAATATCGTCTCAAATGGAAGAATCGATGGTCACATCATCGACTTTATTACCGAAATCAACAGCTATATCTTCTTCACCATCGTCATCAACTTCATCAACATTATCAATGTTGACATCTTTATCTTTCTCAAATCCATATCCTCCTCATACTTCAAATATAATGCCCATAAATGATAATCATCGGAACTGGACAAATTTCACATCACAATTTAAAATGGATAAAATAAATAACAACTTTCTGATATATGATCACAGCGAGAAAGATTATTGTGAATCCGCTCTTGACTTTACTACCACTACTACTACTACCACCACTACTACTACTGCTAATAATAATAATCATAACTGTAGTGGTGATTCAAGTCCCAAAGATATCTATGACCATTACAAACCTTCTATTATATCATATGACATTGATTCCATAAACTTCATGTGTAGCAAAGATCATTCATCAATGAGAAAGATAAAACCCGACTGATCAAGCGTTGCATTTTTTTCTCTTTTTATCTATCTATCTATCCATCTATTTATTTGTCTATCTTTAAATATTATAAGCAGGTTATGCTAATATTCATTTACTTAATGAGAAAGTTTGAACTGTGACCATAATTATGACCACATTCATATAATATACACCATACTATATAATTGTATTCATGTAATTTGAGTTTAATAAGGATTATAAATAAATGACCATATTCATATGACTTCTTCCCAAAACAACTCATCTTACGTAACACTGACCCACATAATTAGCTCTATAACATAACTAATAATATATGAACTTATACATGTAATCTCTATATAACTAATACTGTTTGAACTAAAGGCCAGAATGGCAGACAAAAAATCAAATTGTACATTTGATTATAATCCTTAATATGTTCTGTTTATTTTTCCTATTTCTAATCAAATTTTACAAATAATCATTTTGTTAAACAACTGGTATACTTACGTAACACACATGTAGATTAGTTAAGAATAATATGACTGTTTTTAATTAAATTCATTTAGTATTGTTTGTTTGAATCTTCCTATCGATGTGTTAGGACTGCAATTGGTCAGTCTCTATTTAGCATTTGTGCATACTGTGCGTATTGCCTCAATTTAGCCTTAATTCACAAGCATGGTAAGCAAAGATGGATAGTGGCTAGCAGTGGAATCCAGTTTGACGCGCGTTTCGTCCTATTTGGGACTCGTCATCTGGATGTACCTGCATATTAGAGTTGATGTTCACTCTGAGACTAGAACCCAGTACCTTTCGCTTCAAACGCCATCGGGTTATCCACTCGGCCGCTGTGTCCTGTTTTTAATTACCTAAAATAAATCCCCACTCTCTCACCCTTTTCTAAGAATGTTTATTATTCCAGGATGATTAAATACCGTTCATCAAGTGTACAGACAAAAGATTCTTTAAGTAGATTGGTCAATAAGTTCATAGTTTTATATAAATTGAATGAAAATTTCGAAATTTTCATGCAGATACTAACAAATAGAAGAGTGAACGTGAAGATTTCGAGATGAATAATTAGTTCATATTAAGTGACTAGGAAAGTGTAGTAAATTATTCTAATGAGAATTGTTTCATGCCCAACGGGTTGATTCTCGTAGAATTGGAAACTTAGCATCATCACATTCTAAGTTCGATGGCTCATTTACCGTGTTGTTTTGGACTTCATGCAAAACTGAGTCCACCATCTTTTGAAATTCCTGATTCAATAAGTAATAGGATTTTGGATGCGCAACGATTTGGAGTCGCATACTAGGACGAAATAGTTGTGTTTCCCTTTTCTAGTTCTATCCAGCTTTCCAGATGATGTTAGTCGGTAATGAATAAAAGCCACATTTCAGTCGCTCAAATCTCTGTAAATCACACTAAAGAAAAGTTAGTATATGTAAGGATGGCTCGTTGGTAAACTCTAGGAAGCCTCAAGAAGCCCAGAAAAAGCTAAAGAGCTATTAGATGGATAAGAATTACCCCTATGTGCCTATTGGTTGTCCGAAATGATGATTTACTCTCAGCCAACAAAACTATAAATACATGAGATTTCTGTACTATATTCTGAAACTGTTTTGGAGAATAAAATTTCTACTTACTGGTCTTTTGTCTTCTCTCTTGCGACGTTGCGGGTTCGATCGTTCAAGTAGTCTAGTAGTACGAGGCATAGCAAGAATCAAAGTTCTAGATATAACAGTATATTTCAACAATCAAAGCATACTATTAAATTATTTATAAGTAGTCAATAGGTATCGGTTTTTCTCCCCATATTTTCATTTTGAATGTGTTAAACTTCAAGTAGGAACTGGTAACTATAATAACTGAAATACGAAAAATCTTGTGAGGTGGTTCTTCAGGGTTACTGATAAAAAACTTCAAATATATTTTACAATGTGGATTTGTTGCATAAAATATTATTACTATTCAACTTAGTATTGTTTGTTTGAATCTTCCCATCGATTTGTTAGGACTGCAACTGGTCAGTCTCTAATTGGCATATGTGCATACTGTGCGTATTGCCTCGATATACCTTAATTCACAAGCATGGTTAGCAGAGATACTCAATACGCACAGTATGCACATATGCAAATTAGAGACTGACCAGTTGCAGTCCTAACAAATCGATGGGAAGATTCAAACAAACAATACTAATTTGAATTTAAACTTCACCCCATCGCACAAGCAAGTGGCTACCTGGACTCAGTGACCGAGTGGATAACGCGATGGCCTCTGAAGTGAATGGTACTGGGTTTGAGTCCCAAAGTGAACATCAACTCTGAGATGCAGGTACATCCAGCTGACGAGTCCCAAATAGGACGAAACCTGAGTCCTGGATTCCACTGCTAGCCACTATCCATCTCTGCTAACCATTATTATTATCATTATTATTATTAATAGTGGCTTTATTCGTTATATTTTTGGTCCAATATACAATTTTAAGCACAAAGTATTTTAACGAGTATCGTTTACTTATTTCTTTGTCGATCCTTGAGATAAATATTGAGTGGTCACCAGTTAGATGTTAGCAGTTCAGGAATCGACATCTGAATAATCTATATTCTTTTCGATGCACATTGTCAGCAACCACGTATCTTTCATTGAACTGTTTTGTAACTTGTACAGCGAAATGTTTTAAACTTTTTACAAACGGACCTGAATAGGTTATGAGACTAATAGACATAATGATGTGTTAAGACAAGCAAGAACACAGACAACATTTTTGATTATTCGGATGGCATGAACAGTAGCCCAGATATTCAAACAAGCCGCCTTGCAAACTAACAGCCATTCTTACTATATGTACTATAAATGAGATTTCTGATGACCTGAAATGTATATCAAGGTTTGTTTTCAATGTATAAACATGAAAGATCCCAATTTTAGACACATAAGTCGAAAAACGATTAAGTTAAATGAAGCAATTTTCAATAAGTTTATTCATATTTCACCGATCACATTAGAACGCTAGATATCAAGGAGTACTACCCAAGTTTTATTTCTAATTGGTAAGTCATTTTAATTCACTGCAAAAATCGAAAGTGAAATTTTACCAAGAACCAAATCTTATTCAACTACAATAATCTATCGGTAAAATTAACTGAGCCAGACCATCGCCTTGAGATCACTTGACTAGCATTTTAATAATCTTTCACTATAACTAGTAGGTATCCACATTTATTTTTCTCCTTATCTTTAAGTGCGTGAACTTAGTAAAATACAATAACAGTTTGAAATTGACAATAGATCAGTTCGTTAAGTCAGTAAGCTAAAAATTAAGAAGGCGAACTTTAAGCACCATAGTTTAGTGACTCTTCATTCACGAAAATGACGACTATTGTTTTTTAGTTCAGTGACTGACTGAAAATGTGCTAAAAATCATTTGTGAATGTGTTGTGTTTAGTTCTGAGAAATATTTCAGTTATTTCTTCTAACCTGAATTTTTTCACTGAATTTAGTAGTAGTATTAACGTATTTCGGTGAATTTAGCCATCATTGAAGCAATACAATGGTAGGAAAGTACCATCTCATCACTTGTCTATATCAAGAAGTGCAGTTACAGAATATTACGTCACTAGTCTATTGAGATTCAATACAATGTTTGTGATTATATCAATGAATGTATAAATAACAATAACTGCATATTCACTCAAATTTTTCAGACGTCACTAATTTCATAATGACTCTGAAAACTGGAATATTATGAATAAAATTATCATTCAAACGAAAAATCCAACATTCATTACAACAATACAAAAACCCGGATTGTCCATTTTTTAAAATAAAACATTAGCCTACTGATAACTTATTTAAGTATGAAACAATTTGCGCTACAAAAAATAAAAGTTTTTTTGATGTGCAAACGTAATTTTTAAAAAAAATGAATAACTGTGAATTGTGAACACGGTTACATAATACATTTTCACATTAATTTGATTGAGAATAATAATTTCTGTATAACATTTTGAAGCATAAACTTTGGTTCACAGTAGTTAACTAATATTATTTTGGTAAACAGGCTGGAAAACACAGAAATGATTACTAAATTACAATTGAAGATCGGTTCCTGTATATATGATCAAACATTTATGAGATTTAACTGATATCCTCATGAACTTGTATGTTAATCATCTAGTATCGTTTAAATTGGTTTGATTTTCCTCCCTGTACGTATAATAGTTAGAGCAAAGAGAATGAATAAAATCTGGAAAAGAAAAGAGTAGAAAATAAACGAAAAAAAGTTTAAGATGAACTGTGAAGAAAAAGACTACATTAGTACTTTATTGCAATAAAATCAAAGAATCATTATAACAATTTAATCACATGAACACATCTTTGGTGCTACAAATGTTTATGTTCATTTTAACCAAGTTCAACTAAATAACATTTAAGTAGAGTACCTACATTTCAAATTATTAAGCACACAGAATACAAGGTTCATGACATAATTAATAAACCATTTCGAGTTGATTGTTTGTATCAACTTCAGTTCTATGATGCCCTCAAATGCCCTGGTACGGCCGAGAGTAGTGAGAGTCAGCTCTTCCTCTCCAAATACTATCTAATGGCCACATGAATGCAACCACTGATAGGGAAGTCCTATTCATTGCCTTCTCGCACCACGGATGTTGTTTACAAAATTGAGAGGAAGAAAAACGAATGTCCTGCTCTTTTAACGGGTTGGTGGACACGGAGGGTACACCTAGGGCGGTTGAAAACCCCGATTACAAACCAATGGTGCTCTAGGCTCCTGAGAGAACAAATAGTGTATGAACCTACTGTTGGTCACCGGCTACCATGGGAATGCATCTCCTGAGGTTGCTCCATTGCCTTGTGGATCAGACCTTTAGGTCAATGGCTCGGGGTGCAGACCCATAAGGAAACCACCTGCTTTGGTTTCGGCCCTCACATAAATCGAATGATTTGAATGACACATGACTATTTAGTGCCTCATTGTGCCAATGTTTATGTGTTCAAATAAATAAATAATGTCATATTCGATGCTTAACTGGATACAACACTTTTTATTGACTTCACTGGAAGTTAATTTACAGAAATTCGGATTGCTGATAATAAATCGAAGTTTTTTCAGTGAATTCCTCCAAAAGGAGAAATACTCATTAATTATTTCCAAATACGATTGCCTTCTATCATCAACTGTTTGAATTTGAAAAGGCATCGATTATCGAGATTTATGATGCAGAGATTCTAAGTTCAGCTACAGACATATACTGAAATAGTTCATACGAATATTCTCAAAGTTTGTGTTGTTATTGTTCAGAAGAGCAATGAAAGCTCCATAACCAAACCATCCAAATCAGAGAATAAAGCTCTACATACATGTACGAATATTCGGACGAATAGTTTGACAGAAATTAGGAGTCGAATATACAGAAGACATTATTTGTGAAAATTATATTTGAAATAATCTCATCGATCGAAAATTAAATAATTCCAACTTCTCGTCCAGCAAATGTTTTTGTTTACTCAGTAGAAATCTCATGAGTCATTGAATTTTATGAAACAGACTATAAAGTAAAACGAAATTCGTTTATACTGTAGAAAACCGAATTGTTCCAAACATTCTAAGCACAACAGATGTTTACTTACTTGCAATCCTACCGCTCCACATAATATATAAGCAGTTATGTTACCATACATTATGATATAACTTTCTATTTTTGGCCAACATCCAACATGTATATTACTGTTTTCCAAAGTAAATTCATCAGGACAACCATTATTAGTTATTTCTTGATTTCTATCCATTTTGCAACAACTGATTGGATATTGAAATTCTAACCAGTTTTGGGTAGGTTAAATAATTGAAGAAAACAGAATATTTATCCTTTTGACTCTTCCCTTTAGAAAAATCTATATGGTCATATATTAACTAGGCGAGAATGTAATGTATAACCTAAGTAAACTGGTTTTCTTGTTGTCTAAGGTTAATACATCATCTCAGTCATCTAAAATCTATCTGAGAAAAATATTGCTAATTCAGCAAACTGAGAGTTATTGACACTTTTATGCTCAAATACGATAAGTATGGCTGAAAAAAGATTCTATAATACGAGCACTACATATAACCACTGATTACAATGTACTTCATGATCCAGAAAACAGAAGTACGTTATCCAACAAAAAAGTCAACTTGCATTTTGAACAGGATTTCTGGTTAATAAAGTGTGAGTTGAGAAAGAAATGAAGTAACCACAGCATAGAAATACAATAAACTTTTTCTAAGGTTGGAATATGTGTATAATGAATAACTAAAGAAATAATCGTATAACAAACGTTTCTAAAACACCACCTTTTCTTACTTAAATTAAACTTAATATATTGCTCATTCCTATATGAACTTTTGTGACATTCATGAATGAATATGCTTTATTAGATTGGTCAAACAGAACAACCATAAATTAAAGCTTCTTTTCTCTAAATTCAAATGTAAGTTTATAATTTTGGAATCGGGATTATACTCCGGCGTGGTTTGAATACTGGCATGAAACTTCGTCATTTCCATTAATTTATTATTGTTTAGATTAAATTATTCAGTTTGATCAATAGTGAGCCCGTGATCGCCCATCACTGGAGAGTTCAATACTAAGAAAGAAAACATCTGTTCAGTCCTCCCTAGCTTTAAATATTGATTTAACTGAGATAAGTGGATGGCCAATATCTCCAAGAAATTCTACTTTTATAAATATTACATTTAATAATTATCCAACGCGTACCGACAACTGCATATGAAATAAAACCCATGGCTATCAAGCATCTCATTGAGTACAATGTCATTGAGCAGCAAAGTCGATATTCCAATGGTGTACTCTTTTTCTAATTTAGTCAACTTGTGGCTTACAAGAGCCATCGAATGTTCTTCTAAAACGCCCTCAGAGACTAAAAACAGTTTGTAAACACTTCGTTCAGTCAGAACACACTAAAAACTTCCTATACAGTTCTAGAAAAACAATAGATTATATATCATATTCTGATTTAACAATTCCCCATTTTATTATTAATTTAAGCATATTTCCAGAAGTTTATAGAATCCAGGGTCAAGCATGAACCTTAAGACATCCTTATTTTATATATTCAAAAAATTTTGGGAGTGAAGCTTCTTTTCTTGCTTTCTTTGTTTGTAATGGCTTAGTGGCTCAAACGCAAGAGATTTCTAAGGGACTAGGAAACTGCTAAAAAAATGCGTGTCAAGTGTTCAAGTATCAAATATATCAAGGAGTTAATACAATCCTCACAAGATATTATCAGTGAACTACCAACTCTCAATTAGTGACCAGTGTCAATTCGTATTTGAAATTACTTTAAGTTTATGCGAAATCTTCATTGGTAAATTAGAAAATAGTTCACAGAAGCATAACTCCCAAAATCTAACACTTGGAACAAGGAATTGTTTTGGTAAACGCAATCATCTACTAAATACTAATTACTAGTCTTCAGAGATAGTTTACCAAACAATTTTAAAATAACTGGTTAATTAATGAAGTGAAGATAAGTTTTGGTTTAATTACTCCAAATACATGTTAAGTGTACTGTTACTCCAGTCAACAAATCACAAAAATGTTTAATTATTAGATGTGCAATAAATAAATTTCAATAGTTGAGATCATAAGTCAGTTGAGGCTAGACCACCATAGAAAACCTGGAATCATTGGACGGCCGTTTCGTCCTATTGTGGGACTCCTCAGAAGTGCTCACCCACGATTCCTCCTCGCGAGATTACAACCCAGGATATATCATTCTCGTGCGTGAGCGCTTAACCTCTAGACTACTGAGTCGACATCCAACGATGTTCATGTCTAACTTCAACCGATCCAGAAATTAAGCGACAAATCCACCATTGTCTTCAGTAAGTCACTAACTCACAACAGACATAGTTGAACTCCATTGGTTACTGCTCACTAGAACTCCAGTAAATACCTCATGGAGCCAATCACTAGTGAGTATATGTTGATTAATATCAGAAAGGGTTTTTTGTGGAGATTTTAGTAATTTTTTTATATAGTTGAAATTATGAGTGGTTAAGCGCTCGCACGCGAGACTGATAGATCCTGGGTTGGAATCTCGTGAGGCTAGATCGTCAATATGCACTGCGTAGGAGTCCCACAATAGGAAGAAACGGCAGTCCAATGCTTTTAGGTTTTTCATGGTGGTCTAGCTTTAATTGACCCATGGTTTCAACTATATAAAAAATTACTAAAATCTCCACAAAACCCCCTTCTAATATCCTTATTGTGTCTGAAAATCTACTTGATGTAAGTTTATAAATCTGTATCATATTTATCATTTCTGTTGAGTAATTTAAAAGCTTTTCTGAGATAAATCCAAATGGTTTAAGGTGGGTTTTTTTTATTTTTCAGTTTTAAATTGACTACTATTATCTTTTAACAATCAATGAAAACTAATGTTTACATCGAAATTTGAAAGTTAATGAGCTTACCACTTTTTGTACTGAGATTAGATTTTGTTATTTCAAATAAGATGACAGTAGATTCATTTAATGTTTTCGGATATGAAATTATTAATAAACTGATCTTTTTCCCATAAAAATAGAAAAGAATCCATATTCCTAGTTGTCAACATAAGAATTAAATACTACACTTAATGGTCACCGAATGTTAATCATCTGGGTTTTGACATTTTATTTTTAATATTAGGAGGGGTTTTGTGGAGATTTCAGTATATTTCAAAGTTGAAATCATGAGTCAATTGAAGCTAGACCACCATCGAAAACCTGGAAGCACTGAACGGCCGTTTAGTCCTATTATGGGACTCCTCAGCAGTGCGCACCCACGATCCCGCACTCGCTCATAATTCGTGGATCAGTTGAAGTTAGACATTAACACTGTTGGATGCCAGCTCAGTGGTCTGTCGGTTAAGGGCTGTGGCTCGTAACTGGTAGGTTCTGGGTTTGAGTCTCGCGAGTGCGGGATTGTGGGTGCGCACTGCTGAGAGGTCCTATAATGGGACGAAACGGCCGTCCAGTGCTTCCAGGTTTTCGATGGTGGTCTAGCTTCAATGATTTTATTTTTAGTTTGACTACTAAATTATGAAATAAACTGTTGCCATATCAAACCTATTACAATGAGTAGTAATTAGTGTAATTTTGCTTAGTCCTTACCTTTGAATGAATTCAGTTCATCAGGATGTATTGTGGTCCCCATTGCATGAGACTTGATATCATGTTACAATCCGTTTTTATATGAAATATTTGAGAGTAATCGGTAAGAAGCTTTAAAGCTAGATTTCACTTCAGCTGGCACTTATCATCAAAGAGAATATGACAAAATGTAGTGAGTCATTAAACATTGTCGAATTCGTATAATTTCCTCATTTATACATCAGATTGAATTTCGTGCACTACTGACATTTCTGACAGTGATCCAACGTAAGGATTCCAGCCGTCCATAAAACATCAACTTCTTCAAAGTTCCAAATGAGCCCCAATAACAAATTTCGACTAGTTTGAGTTCTAGGTTCAAAACTTCCTATTAATTACCTCTAGCCAAAAACATAGAAATAAATTGATTCTAGGAAGGACCGCGATTAACTCTAACTAATTGAAGATATTCAGTGCAAAACAATGTTTTGTACTTTCAAACGCTCCCGAGAATATATGCAGCACCTCTAAAATTCTCATCTTCGTATACCCTATACACCAAAATAGCTAATTAATTATTCAAACCATGTATATCTGTATGAAGAATTAGATTTGATAAGCTGAGTACCAACATATTGAAAGTAATAGAATGCTTCAGTGCTCAATGGTGACATTTTCTGAATTTTGGTCCATTTGTATCAGATATAAAAAAAAATTACAAAACACTTAATACATCTAACAAAATTTCCTAGGCATCACAGTTTACTATTTGACTGCTGAATGTTATTTTGCAATTACAATTAGAACCACACTAAATTCCCTCCGAAATAAAATGCATATTCATAAAAAAATAACATATCATGAAATGCTATTTAACAAAATTTTGTAAATCTGAAACTGCAAATCATGATGCGTAGTGATACTTTTATTCAACTGTACTTTGTTATTACCACAGCTTATTAACCTATCAGACCATACTGTAAGCTGTTAAACCTTACGTCCATGATTTAACTCACATTTTGGAAGGGAAATAATGAATTACTGGGTGTTTTTTAAAGGTAAGTCACCAAGAAAATAAAGTATGATGTTCTAATTCTATTGCTAGTTAATATAAAATAATATGAAACCCAAAGCATCTTATTACAGGAAAATCTCCGTGACAGATTCATAAGCTTTTTATTCTTGATGGTAAATTTAAACAGTAAGACTTCATTCATAGTTGCGAAGACGAAACTGAAGCTAAGCAAAGCAATAGGCAACTGAAAAAACAGCATTTCAAAGGTTTAATACAGCCTTCCTTCAACGTACTGACAAACTCAACCTATTCAATATAACTCTCAACAAAAGGTTCCAAGCCTAACAGGATCTACTGAAACAGGAAACTACGATGGAGAACAATTGAAAAAGGATCAAAGAAGCACTAACTATCAAGAAACATTATCGTAAAGAATGGATCTCTATCGAAACCATAGACAAAATTCAAGAAAAGAAGAACGAGAAGACAGCAATTAACAACAGCCAGCTGAACAACAATAGAGGAAGTCAAGGCACAAACTGAATACACAGAAGCAAACAAGAGAGTGAAGAGGAGCATTAGAGATGACAGGCAGAAATACATGGAAGAGCTATCAACAACAGCTCAAAAGATGGTAGGAAATACGAAACAATTATACGATACGACGAAGAAACTAGCAGGAGGATATAGTCAAGTAAAAATAAGGAAAGACAATAGCAGATATTCAAGAACAGAGGAAGAGATGGGTGGAATACTTCGAGGAACTGCTGAATAGACCATCCCCATTGAATTCACCGGAAGTCGAAACAACACACACAGACCTTCCTACAAATATCACTACACCAACGATCGACTGGGAAGTAACAGGACCAGACAACACACCAGATGAAGCTCTGAAGTCAGACAGAAGTAATTACAAACATGCTCAATGTTCTATTCGGGAGGATTTGAAGAGGGGAGGAACAAGTGTCGCAGACAAATTGAAAAGAAGGATACCTCATCAAGATATAAAAGGAAGGAGGTCTGGGCAAATTTGAAAACTACATAGGCATCATACTAATGTCAGTACCGAAAAACGTTTTCAACAGAGTGTTGCTGAACAGGACGAAAGACTCAGTAGACATCTGGGTAGGAAATCAAAAAACCGGATTCCGTATGGATCGGTTTTACACAGATCATATCGTGACAAGACGGATCGTCGGTGAACAATCAATTGAATGGAACTCGTCACTATACATCAACTTCATTGACTATGAAAAGGCGTTTGACAATGTGGATAGTAGTACATTATGGAAACTTCTTCAACTCTATGGTGTAATTGAGAAAGTCGTCAACATCATACGGAATTCACACGACGAACTACAATGCAATGTCGTGCATGGAGGAGGACATTTGACAGACGCATTCCGAGTGAGGACAGGAGTCAGACATGGCTACCTATTATCCCTCTCTATCTCTCTCTCGTTCTTCTGGTGGTTGACTGGATTATGAAGACATCCACATCTGATAGGAAGCACGAAATACAATGAAGAGATTGGATGCAACAAAACGATTCGGAATTCACAGATGACCTAACTAACATCTTCTATCTCATGCAGGTCAACTAATGCAGGTCAATACATACAGTGTAGCAGCAGTCTCTGCATCAGTAAACCTCAATATACACAACGGAAAGACCATGATTCTCAAATACAACATGGATGAAACCAAACCAACCACACATGATGGACAAATTCTGGAAGAGGTGGAAACTTTCACGTATCTACCTGGTCAACGTCATCGATGAAAAAGAGAATCTGCTGCAGATGTGAAGGCGAGGATCGGCAAAGTAAGTGAAACATTCCTACAATTGACGAACATATGGAACTCGAAAAAACTGTCATCCAACATCAGAGTCAGAATCTTCAATATGAACGTCAAGATAGTTCTACTGTACACAGCTGAAAATTTGAGAACTACTACAACCATTATCAAAAATGGATAAGTATTTATAAACAATTTTCTACACCGTATACTGAAGGTCCTTTGAGCAGATGCCATCAGCAACAGCCTATTGTGGAAGAAAACAAACTAGGTTCCAGCTGAGGAGGAAATTAGGAAAACACTCTGGATGTTGCTAGGACGTACATTACGTAAATCATCAAACTGCATTATAAGACAGGCGGTAACTTGGAATCCTGAAGGGAAACGGAAAAGTGGAAGTTGGAAGTTGGAAATAGATATCGAAAGAATGAATAACAACTGGTAACAACTTCAATAGATTGCTCGGAACAGAGTTGGATGGAGAGTGCTCGTGATGATGAGGTAACAGGCGTAAGTAAGTAAATTTATTTACAAGCAAAAATCAAATTTATTATAATGGTAATAGTTATTTTGCGCGAAACTTAAAACACAATAATGGGTAGTGTATACCTTACTAACAAATAAGTAAAATCTATCAATATATATTTTAAAAAACTCTTATAATTGATAAATATAGCACAACTTTAGAACAGAGAAGAACGTGATCAATTCTTAAAGTCAACCTGAAAAAGTGACTAGTTTTTCACTAAAAATAGATAGAAACAAAAACAGAACTGAAATGTTTGCGACATTTTAATCTGATTTACGGATATTTCCAAGTTAAACGATCTTAGGATCTGAAATCAAAGAACTACTTATGGCTACACAACATTCTTCTACCCTAACTCTAAGCTCTTTTAGTCCTATTTAATAAATTATTCATTTATACTGTCCTCATTTTAATGAAATAACAACAACCGTGTAAAGCTGATAAGATCATTTTTCAGCCACTCATGTTCGTCTATCAAGAATAGTTACTCCAGTTCGACTTACCAATTGTGAATAATCAATCTTACTATTTAAGATAAGTGAAAACGTTATGTATAAAAATAAAAATATTTTACTCACCATACGGTTCACCTTTATACATTATGTTCCGTTTAGTCATTTTCACATGACTGAAGTCACTTCCATTGTTAATACCACAGCATTGTAACTTTAAGGAAAAAATTGAGAAAGAATAGAATTTGTGAATGATTCGTAAAAGAAGTGTTTTATGATTAAAATTCTATTTAAACGCAATTCTCTAAAGAAATGAATAAAAATGAAATTAACTATTTATGTTAACGCAATACTCATAAAATATCAGGACTCAGTGGCCGAGTGGATAACGCGATGGCGTTTGAAGCGAGGGTACTGGGTTCGAATCCCAGAGTGAACATCAACTCTGAGATGCAGCTACATCCAGCTGACGAGTCCCAAATAGGACGAAACGCGCGTCCTGGATTCTACTGCTAGCCACTATCCATCTCTGCTAACCAATAATAATGATAGTAAGAGGGAAGGTAGTCAAAAATATCAGTTTATCATGGCAGTAATATGATAACTGCTGCTTCCAGGACCCATGTGTTTTATCTTGGTTTTTTTAATGACCACTGTTTCAGTGAAGTATTTCGTTGCGTCCTTTGGTCTAGAAATCATTTTGAAAGGATTACAAGCGTCAACGACATGGTTACAACTGAATAAACATCGAACTACTGTACTGTTGTTGGTTGTCAAACCTTTTAATCACAAATTGTTTATAACATGTACGGTAATTATATGTAATTTTCTCTTTATCCTTTCAATATACGTCTTTTCCCATGTACAATATATTCAAGTCTTAAGTCCAGTAAAAGGTGAACTAGTTGATTTTCGTCCATTTTAAATAACAACTCCATTTATATAAGGCAGTGGCTAACCTTATCACTAGATCATTCTTCTTTATTTCAGCATGTAATAATTAATCTAACAATTTTATCACCTTTGAAACGAAAGTGTACAGGAAACAATCTTTACAAATCTGTATTATATATAACACGTTCTTTATATGTTTATTAAGTATAGTTCTGATTTAACAATCAATACAGAAATGCTATATTCATATATAGATTCTAGATAATTCAAGATTGTCAAATGTATCATAAGGTATCTTATAAAAAAGGGATTCTTCATTTAACTTTAAAAGAAAAGTACATGTCGCTTTATATAAAGTCATAGCTAACCAATTACACATCTAGTCATGTCAAATTAATTCACATAAGAGCTTAACAAAAATTTCCGATTTCTGAAATATACATTATGTCTTCAGTTTTTAGTAAAAGTCTAATAATCGGTGCCTAATTTCATAGGTTGATGACCTACTAAACTCACATATTGAAGGTATTTTCTTCTCAAATGGATTTTATTCATATTCGTTTTGTAGCAAATATTTTATACCCAAGTTTATCAATTTCGCTGTACAAATGAACAGTTACTTTGCTGACAAGTTGTTTTATCTTTTGATACCTATTCATTGGGATATTGGATCAATGATAAAAAAGATTCTGAGGGCAGTTAACACTTAACTATATAATTCATTTTAATTTGGATGACTGATTACTTGAATTGAATTGAATTTTTGAAACTATGCATTCGTTTTACATTCAAATGTTAACGATCACATAATATCCAAGGTTAACTGAAATCCCCAAATCGATAGATGTTATGTTTATAAGGCTTAGTGAAAGAGCGTATTTATAGATTCATCCGTTTAGAAATAACTAAGAAGAAACCATATTTGGTTTCGGCACTTCTGAAACCTTAACAACTTTACCACTCCCTATATGTCCCATTACGACATCTGAGTCGTCTTTAGCAGACATCATGTGGTGATAATTGTTACCTGAGAGCTTCAAATCCCATGGTTAGTTCTTTCCTGAACTCCTTCGTGCAAAGCATTATAAATGCATCATATTAACGCACAATACCATATACCCACATCCTTTAATATCGTTATTTTTCTCACCTGTATCATGATGTGATTTAAAGCATAACTGTGTATATCAGGTGAATCATAACCAATGTAACGATGAATACTTGAATTGAATATATTTCGACTAAATGTGGTTACCTATTATAAATGTAAATGTGAAAACAGTCGTTAAATACATACATAAGGGTAAATTTTACATAGCAAACTTGAGTTCAACTGATCACAATAAAGTTGATCAATAAATAAATTGAAAGAGTGGAAGCTGTAACTTTTTGTTTATATTTCCTTCAAACATACACATAAGTGTCAATAGCATAGTCACAACTGAATAAACATCGAACTACTGTACTGTTGTTGGTTTTCAGCTTCATCCCATTGCACAAGCAAGTGGCTATCAGAACTCAGTGGCCGAGTGGATAACGCGATGGCGTTTGAAGCGAAAGGTACTGGGTTCGAGTCCTAGAGTGAACGCGCGTTTCGTCCTATTTGGGACTCGTCAGCTGGATGTACCTGCATCTCAGAGTTGATGTTCACTCTGGGACTCGAATCCAGTACCCTCGCTTCAAACGCCATCGCGTTATCCACTCGGCCACCGAGTCCTGATAGCCACTTGTTTCTGCGATGGGGTGAGATTCAGGTACATCCAGCTGACGAGTCCCAAATAGGACGAAACGCGCGTCCTCGATTCCACTGCTAGCCACTATCCATCTTTGCTTACCATGGTTGTGAATTAAGGCTATATCGAGGCAATCTGCACAAAGTGCACATATGCCAATTAGAGACTGACCAGTTGCAGTCCTAAAAACATCAATGGAAAGATCCAAACAAACAATACTAAGTAAAATACACATAATATGTTTATCATTCTTACAAATGGGTAACCGAAATTTACATTCAACTGAAAAAAGTGAATTAATTAGATATGAGCATTTTATTCTGAAGGTTCAAATTATGGTTCGTCGTATTACGTGGACATAATAATCTTAATAAACAACTCACCCTGATAATAGAGGGAATTTGTGGAGATTGTCAATTCATGTAGCTTACACCAAAAACTAAATTTAGTTAGGTAATCGTTAAAAATCATCAAATAATGAACAGATTCTTTGTCCCGGCACAAGATTTCTCAGTATAGTGCATCCATTACTCCACAGGGGATCAAACTCTGAAATCTTAAGTCTCATAGTGCGAGAGTGAACCTTAGACCACTGAGTTGATATTCAAAGGTTTACATTTATCGCTCCTGGACTTCTAGTGAGAATCTGTGACCGATAGAGTTCGACTATGTCTGGTTTGAGACAAATATTACCAACGTAGTGGATGATGATTGAAATAAATCGTGAAGTGATTGGAGTTAAAAGTATAAACAACCAGATATCAACTCATAGATCAAAGAGTTAAGAGCACCCCATGAGACCTGATTGTTACAAATTTAACCTCCAGTGAGGTTGTGAAAGTACACTACAGATGAGTACCATGATTGTATTAAGCAGGTGTCTTTTGCTTGCTACTTTTTATTTGTTATTTAACAAAGGTCAGTCCGTAAAGTAAACGACAAAATTCATTCTGTTTTCCTATCAGTCAGAATGCAGAATACAAAAATTTCCCCATATTTAATTTTTAGTTGTATCAAAATGTATAGAGTCGTATTTTGCTAAACCACATCTTCCCGCTTCAGTGAAATCTAATGTACATGAGGTGAGAGTAATCATACAGGGTGCTCATTCGTATTTGCGAGAGTAAACCCATCAAACCAAATCATACCCCTACCAAAATCGAAACTCTGATAAAATAACATCATTGAGTAGATATTCTCGGTCGAATTGCGTAATATCTCTTCCGAAGCTTCACAAGATTAAATGTAGAATTTCCATTGATAAAGTCTGCTCAGACTAGTTCTTTTAAAGCAAATCATAGATCTTAATCAATAGTTATGTTTGTTGTCTTAAAAAATATTTACACGAATATTGTTTTAATAAATTAGTATTGGAAATTTAACTAATCTAGGATAATTTTTATTGTGAAATAAAAGAACCTGAAAATAACGTGTACATACAAAACATGCAAAATAATAACATTCTTTGACCTGTTCCCTCTCCTCCTATTCATGCTTATAACATCTTATATAATTGTAAAATTAGAACATTGAGATACTACAACTGTAAGCAGTCCGAGTTATACTGTTGGATTGGAATACAAATCTATATACTTAGGTGTCAACTCAAAGTTTAAAAAGTTCGAATTGTGGCTAACTGTTGAGTACAGGATGCATATTTTGCGCTACTTGAAGACTGTTAGCCGAATTGACTTACATCCTAGTACCCATCTCCATAATGCACATATCCTGACAGAGGCTGATCGATTTCGCTGCTAAATTTCAACAATAGAAAATTACAGACTCTTACTGTTATCTTTACATATGTTGACCAAGTTAATGACCACCTGAACTCAATAACTTAACTGGCAATGAATACTAGGTTCAGGGTTTCACTGTAAACATCAACACTGAAATTCTTGAGAAGTTCCAAATACGACAAAATGTCTGCCCAGAGTTTCACTGCTGGCCATAAGACTATATTGAGGCAATCCACTCACTACATACATATAACAATAGATAGTGATCAAATGCGGTCCTCAATTTCAACAACAGTAAATCCCAAACTATTACCAAAATGGAAGCTAATTAGTTACATAATTCAAAACAGCAAGTAGTTTGGCAGTTAAATCACCCCATAAATAATATGAAAATATCATAAGATAGACATTACAAACAAGTTTATCTAGTTTCTACTGAGAAATATAACTGAAGCATCAAGACAACTCTTTGGAATTAAAATAATCATATATCGCATAAGGACTCCTACAAAACTAACATTTAAGTCCTTTTGCTGACCAATAAATATCAAAGTGAATCTTTATTTCTTTCGATTTAATTTAATAAGAATATTGATTGGATACTTTCCCCTTAATCAATACTTGGAGCTTAAAATCTATAAATGTATTTTACAAAAATGGAAACCAAATTTCACCAGTTTAATAGACCATCAATTTGTATAAATTCTTTAAAACATTACAAGTTACCATTAAAGAAATACATAGAGCAAACTTACTATATCCGTTCGACAGAAATACACAATAATGATAACAATTTCAGGGATAAGAACTAACACATGGAATGTTAGATACTGAAAATAAGCATTTCATAGAAAGATAAGTGAAAACAAAAGTAAATCAGAGTATATTATGAATGATTATAATATGTATACTACAAATATATATGACAAAATATTAAAGATATTTACAGAAATCTAAAGTTGTTTGATGTTGGGTTCAACATCTCTGTATAGTTCTATACGAATGGCCTACAGTAAGATTATCTAATTCTATAAAGAATGAGAATTGTATGAAATGTACAGTCTATTACATTAATTGATATTACTATGTGGTCGACTGATGACTACTTACATAATCCATATTCTTCATGCATTGTCCCAGTGAAAGAATATAAGAAGAAAGAACTGCTTGTCAAAAAACTAAGAGTTCGTTCAAACAGCGAAACTATGTACTTATATCACAAAATATTCTACACAATAAAATGATGTTCCCTGATGGTAGGAAAAAATTCAATCAGTACTTAGTAATCAACTCAAGCACAACCAAGTGGTTATCAGGGCACATTAGCTAAGCGGATAACGTGGTGTTTAAAGCGAACGGTACTGAGTTTGAGTCTCATAGTGAACATCAACTCTGAGATGCAGATACATCTAGCTGACAAGTCCCAAATAGGACGAAACACACGTCCTTGATTCCACTGCTAGCCACTATTCATGTTTACTTGTAAGTCTAGTTTTCATATTTTAAATGTGACATTTTAAATTTCATTGAAAATGTCTGATAAATACTGCCTGTATTTCAAACAGATTATTGTGAATTATAGTTTCATGTACAAATTACTTTTTACCCGGTTATACGAAGAAATCAGATACTTCATCATGGAAATTTAATTTTCTGCACTATGAAGTCATATAATATGAATTATGTAATATAATTCTAAATCGATCAAATTAAAATGGTTAAATATCATTTTAAAAATCAACAGAACTCAATCAGTACTGAAGACTACACAAACACTACATAGATGACTTCCCAGTGTATAATCACAACAAAATGGAGGCCGGTTTTGTTTGATGACAAAAATTTTTCCGGTTGTTGTACTGTTCATGGTAATGTGATGTAGAAAAACAATTAAAGTCTCATGATTAAATTATCCAGTTCAACTGAACTCTACTAAAGATTTTTATCAATGATATGTTTAAAGCAATTAGTCCCTGATAAGAGTAGAGGATAAACATCCATCATCCCCCCATTTCCAGTCTAGTTGACCTTTTATTTTTACATAGAAATGTTCTTAACAAGTATATGTGTGATCAGAGTGTTCGAAATGTATTGCGCTAATATATCACATCTTCTCATTACAAACAATGAACAGTTAATTTGCAAAATAACAATCAATTGTCTCAATCTTCACTTTTCCTTTTGTAAATATCAGTTCATCTTCCCTAATTCCACTGTTCATGCATTTTCCTACCAATCGCGATTCATTTCAGTTCTTTCCTTATCGATCTTCTGCTAAAATACATTCTATGTCTCACAACCGCTATATACTACTCATATGGATATAAGTAGACCACACTACAATGGTACAAACTTACAAGCTAAAGTTCGAGAGACGATAACAATTTATGTTTGAAAACCTTAAAGGATATAACTTTTCGATGTGTTGAACGAATATAACTAATTACACTACCAAAACGGATGAAACTCAAATGATTAGTTGTTAATTTCATGAAATACACTAATGTTGAAATTTTTTTTATCTCACATGAAATTGATTAGATTGTCCAATACTCTGCAGACTGAGTAGATTATCTATTCTTTATAATTGTCTAAGTCAAGGTAAACATAATGATAGTACACTATTGGAACTAGTAACATACTATGATAATGATATTGAGAATCATACAACAAACTATACAAAATCAGGCTATTTGTTGAACAGAACAATGATTATTAACTTAGGAAATTTGCAAAGGCTGTCCAATATAAAGATAATTTACTAAGCAGAATAACTTCTCGGCTGGGTTATGGGTGTATACTTTTGAAATTTCCATACTAAAACGAAAAATTTATCCATTCCTCCAATGTTTCCAATAATGTAATACCTGATGTCAATACATAATACAAACTGTCTTCACAAGAATGAATACAATACAAACCATGGATAAAATATGTTTAATAATTTGAGAAAAACTGATTTAACTTACAATGTAAATTATCAATCTTGATTTAAAACATGTACCAATTACACCAAGCAGACAAATAATGAAGATGATTAGGCCAGAAACAAAAATGTAAACTCCTAAAGGTTCTATTTGTTTATTGTTTTGTTTTTTTTTAGAAAAAAGGGGGGAAAAGATATCAGGGAATTTATCAAACAAAGCACATTATAATTATTTAAATTAAATATGACGATTATAAATCGATCCTCGAAAACAATGATGAAAGTATTAAGATGAATATATAAATAGCATTCTGTTAAGAAAAGAATATCTTCGATGATAGTTCAATTTAAATTCAGTTGGAAGTTGTTAGAATAAACGAAATTCATGGAATTATCCGACGGTGAAATATTATTGAGTGATCTTGTTTATTGCGTATTTAGGTAATGTTCGACTGAAGGTAGATTTTATATTCCCCTTATTGTTAGCTTTCACTTAAATGAATAACTGTGTTACAGAGGTTTTACAATTCCTAAACTATCGTTACTTAATTTTTATTTATTTATTTGAACACATAAATATTGGTACAAAAGGGCACCAGATACATATGCGCTACACAAATCTCATTTGACTTGTGTGAGAGCTGTGATACTGCCCAGGTGCCCAAAGTGAAGAAGGTGGTTTTCTTAGCGGACCACACCCGGAGCCTTCCGCCTAAAGGTCTGATCCACAAGACAGTGGAGCATCGTGAGGGGACGCATTCCCATGGTAGCCGGTGGCCAACGATTGATTAATACACCATTTGTTCCCTCAGGATACTGGAGCCCATGTGCACCGTTGGTTTGGAATCAGTGTTTTCCAACTCCCCCAGGTGGACTCTCTGTGTCCACCGAACCGGTTAAAGCGCCGGACATTCGCTTTTCGTCCTCTCAATTTTGTAAACAATACCCGTGGTGCGAGAAGGCAGTGAGTAGGACTTCCCTGACAGAGGCTATATACATATAACCATGTGAGGACATTTCGATAGGGAGAGCGGACTCTCCCTACTCTCGGCCGTACCAGGGCATTTGGGGGTATTACTTAATTATAAATACATTACTTAGTTTGGTAACCCATCTTGTCTAGTTACATACAAATTATGATTTTTTAATTTGTGGTGCATAGTTTTCTCGTAACTGATATAAATTTTCATAAATTTTTGAGCCATAAGGATTGTGAATCATAGAAGGTACTTCAACTGAATACCCTTGTGTTATGACTGGGCATTAAGTTTAGTGAAATCTGTGTGTTGAACTAATAGGAGTTACAATATCCGATCTGTATTGTTATGTTACTTATAAAACAAAGGTTAATAAGATTGACGAAAAGTGGACTCATTATTCAAGGACTCAATAATTCAGTAATCCGATTAGGTAGACAAATAGACGTTGAAGTTATCACTCAAATCACTAACAGAAATCCCTTGAATATGAGTCTCTTTCTAGTAATCTGTCAACATTATTATCTGAATAGTGAAAGGTCATTATGGCCGTTTAAAGGTGATTAACCGAAATTGTTATTAAAAATTAATGAATTATTTTTTCAACTAAAATGATATTCACTTACGAATCTCTTCGAATACATTAAAAAATAATTTTGTAATTCCTTTTTTAATCGTTAGAGTACTAATTCCATCTACGATAAATGTATGTAGAGTATTATGCAAAGATTTTTCTCCCCAAATGTAAATTCCACCGATTACTGTTATAGCTCCAGCAATAAGCTTATAATAAATGAAACATATTAATAAATTACATCATTAGTAGTAGTGTTAAAAGCTATAAAAAGGACGAAATTATACGGTGCACATACATGTCAGTTATAGAGATAAATACCTTTAAATTTATGGAATCCTTTATTCTTTCTTTATCTGCACTCAATCAGCAACAAAATTTGCATCATACCGTTATGAGATGTTTATAAAGTAACATTATGAAGCAATAAAAATGTAAGAATGACATTCTGCAGGTTTGTATATTTGGATTGAGGCTAGCAGTAGCTTCCACGAACCCCATTTCATTCTATTTGAAACTACCCCAAATGCACTAACACGTGTAACATCATGTGGTATCAAGTCAATCTGCATACGGCAACAGATACTGATTAAGCCCAGTCCTAAATATAAACAACCGAGAACTATAAACCACTACTAACAGTGGGCTTTACCCATAAATTCTACTAAAAAAGTATTCAGTATGTTATTGAATTGAATCGTGTCACTTATCTTCATTGTATTATCTCTATGAGTAAAATCCTACATTCATTTGTCCTTTTAAAAACTTTACTTTTGAGCTGATTGATAACTCATTTGTGGATACCTTAAGCAAATGAATCGATTGCTAAATAATGAAGAGTTCATTGCAAGATGTCGGATATGTAAATTGTTATTATTTAGTTTGATACTAATTGATACATTTCGAATGATATTATTGGAAGTAAACAAACTATTGTCAATGTTTTGAATTTCCGAACATGGTGTTTGATTGTTTAATCACATTTCGTGAAATAGGGTATTACTAATTCATCCTAGTTAATCCAAGTGTTCAGAAGTACGCTAAATTCAATCTACTATGAACAAGTTAGTTGTGTTATACAGCGATTGGATTACTAAGAACGAAGAAAAGGAATTCGAATCTAAGTTTTCAAAATAACAGTGAACGAAAGGTCCAGTCAGTCGTTAAAATTCGTAACTGATGCGTCAAATAAACATTTACTTAAAATTATATATATATATATATCACTTTCCAAACGTTATGCTCTGACTCATTTGACAGTCCTCTCTCTTTCACCATGACTACCTTATATTAATCTAACTCATTATTTGCTATTATATTTGGTCTATCTCTTGATTCTTTACGTTTCACTTCTTATAAGTGACCAAGATGTCAGAAGATTTGCTACATTTACTTGCCCCTTCATGTTCTGAATGTACAGAGCTCCCTTTATAGTATCATATTTTACCTGCTTGCTTGTCTCAGTTGTTTATTAACACTTATTGTAAACTCTGAATCATTTGGGATCCTTTATATTCAGCGAGTTTCCTAGTACGAAGTATCACAAATTGTTTATCACTCTCATTGTATTTAATTTTGATGGTACCGCAACTAGAATATCTAGAACACTGTTGTTTGACTTGATTTGTGTGAACATCAATTTGGTATATCCGATGTTTAAATATCCTCGAGTCACTTCTATTGGCCTAAATACCACTGAACAGGATGTTTATGTGAAGTAACGAATTCATTTAATCGAAGTATATAGTAATCGAATTACTTCTCTTCTAATTACCTTAACGCTTCAATAATTTGTGTCAATGTTATCTCCAAATATTTCTCATCAAACATAATTTTACATTCATTAGTCAAACTTCACCAATCAACATCTTTTAAATAATATCCTTTCTAAGTATACGTTAGCTATTCCTCCATGTCACTGACTGATTTTCTCACCTTGTATACCTTACCAACTGAGTGTGATCTCTGTAAAGGGCAACTCGTAAAGGGCAACCAAAGTACTACTTAGCTGGTTCGTTTTCCTATGGGGTTTGATCAAATCACACATAGAGCATTCACTACAAAACTTATGTAATTTATAGGAGCCATGAAAAATTACAAAATGAAATATCAATCCAATTAAAAGAACTAAGAGTAATGTGCTCTCACCACACTAAATAAATGCCAGTACTCAAACTTGTAAGGTAATTGACTAATAGTTCATTCTACCTGAGAAATTATATTACACGAGAACAAAGCCACCACTAATTTGTAAAGTGTTTTTCTATCGTTTTCTATGATTTATCAGTTCATATTGGTTAACCATAGGAGTTATCAAATATCCTCAAGCAACTAATGATAATGACAGTGCAAACTATACATTAAAATGACATGCGTGAATATTGATTGTTTATATTACGATACATTATGTTATCGACGTCGACACTTGTACCTTGTTTCTAGACTATTTACCATCTTGTTTATTTATCCGCATCTATTAGTGTATACTTACCTCGAATTTGTATATATTATACTGAAAGATATCCATCTATAATTGTGTATGTTCGTGTGTACAACTGTGTTACTAATGCTAAATTAAGTATTGATGACCTCACTCATTATTCTACAACCATATGGATTTATTTTATTTCGGCTAATCTCTTCCCATTTTCTACATTAAAATTACTATGGTTATACAAATGTTAATTATGTTGATTGTAACGATCACTATGACATGTATACACTTAAAGCTGGCACATTTGTTTTTCACATGTTATGATTTCCCTTCACCATGGTAATATTACGACATAGTCTTAAACAGTGACACTTTTTTCAAGGATAAACTAATCCATATCAACGTATTTCCACAAAGAATAATTGGAAAAGTAATGAGTAAACTGTAACCATTGAGTTTAGAATAACAACTCTATTCATAAGATTATATACATAACAACACTTTTCTCAAGAACAAGTTGACCACAAAAAGAGAACATTCACTTTTAACAACGTCTTCATTGTACTCTGACCAGGATCATTAAGAATACAGTTATCTAACTAAATAGAATATATTCTATGATTAAGAACAAGACTCTGATCTGTTCACATTGAAACATTCATATACCATACAATATTTTACAAATAATAACCACTGAAACATGAAATAACTGTATGTTATGTATATATGATACGTCTGTAGGTTGAACGCTATATTCAGATCCTAAGGTATTCTGATAACCCCAGGCTAGAACTACTCAGCGACTTGAACATCAGGAAGAAGACTCGAGTATGAGAGAAAACACTTTACTGCAAGGTTCATTTATGTACAGAAAATACAGGGATTTTATAGTAATTAAGAGACCTTGAGTTTACATAGTAGCAGTGTGTTAATCAGCCAATCAGGATCTCGTTATTTTAGTAACATAACTTCACACAACTTCTAATTAATCGCTGATTGGTTGGAGCTCTTTATGAGCCTCTGGAGGCTCTGATAGAGTTCTTTGGACGCCGACTTAGCACCTGTAGACCATCCTCACAATATATATATATATATATTTAACGAAGCCCCGAAGGTAATTTTGCTTCCTGTGTGATTAGTACCAGCATCAATGCGCTTAAGAGCATGAGAGCGCTTAAGAGACGTTGAAACTAACCTCTAGTATATATATAGCAGCTTCGTAAAATAAACATTAAATTAGATCTATTGTGTAAAAATAGCGAACTTTAAACTGATTGATTAACTACAATCTACTATTAAAGTCAACTGATGAAGAAATAGTGAATCATAATAAGAAAGTAAATTCTAAACTAAAGATACACTCAATTTTTTTCGTTTTTCATTGACTATATCCGAACAAATAATCACCCATACTCTGTAGTTAATTGAGAGAGAAAACTTTTTTGTAAATTTAATTACGTCAATGGATAAGTGATGCGACATTTTTAAACTATTATAACTTACTCCGATGATAATGTTTACCAGAACCAGGATACAACGAAGCACACAAATATATGACATGATTTGTTGATTGAAGATCGGAAACCAACCTAAACTAAAAAAATGAGGGATTTCTCATTAATTTTAATGGTTTATTACTTTATTTAGCAACATAAGAGGTTTATGGACATTGTCAAATTCATTAGTCAACATTACGAACTGACATTGATTAAAGAACCATTAAAAACCGAGAAGTGCTAGATAACTGTTTCATCCAATATGGCAATCCCTTTCAGTGTGCATCTAAGACCCCGCTCGAGGATAAATACAAAGACCGCCGATCTAAGGGGTTTGCATACATTATTAAAATTTATGGTTGGAATCATGGGTTGATCTTAGATGTTCATATCAGGAACTGAATTTGATCAGTATGTAGATTCCCTAAATGAATGTCTAGATCTTACTTCGATTGACAAATCGTTTATACTTCGAGTATCAGCCGCAAGTGTACTCTCGTTTTGTCTTCTTCCGTACTCAGCATCTGGATATAGCTGCATACACGTCGTTGTTCATACTCGGTTTCAAACCTAGTCCTGAAGAATGATGGCCAATAACTCATTTCACAAATATAATATTCATCTTTAGTTTTACTGGTTTGTTGATATTCATGACTTAAGATAATCAACCTATGAAAACACAATGGCTCATTGAATAGAAGTCAGAACACTGCTTCCATTGATAACATGAGCGACAAGTGTCGTGACTGGCAGAGTTCAAGCATGTCATTATAAATGAGACAATTTTTACTCATGATACTGGATTGCCGCCGTATTATATATCGTGAAGTGATTGAAGTTGGAAATGAGGATAAATGAATTGTAACTCAATGATTTAAAAATGGCATCTTCATTGATGAACCCGTTCGATCTCTGTTGGGTTGTGGATACGTACTGCTAAAGAGTCTCATAGTAGAATGAAGCAGTTACCCAGTATTCTCTATTGTTTAAAGTTATATCAACTGTTCTGAGTCCAGAACATAAAGCACCTAGGAAGTGAAACTATTCTTAAAAATCTATCAACTGGAAAATAGCAATTGAGTTGACTAACTCTGCTTTTGCACCACACGTTTTGTGTCAGGTCTGTTAGTATAATCATGTTCCTACAACACAAATTAAGTACGATTGTGGTGAAAATTATCATAGGTTTAATTAATTTAACCAGTGGTTAACCATTGTTTATTTTATTTTGCATTCTAGAGCGCTCTTCAAAATGATACTAATACTAATAGTAGTTATCGTTACATTTTATCACAAAGCCAAATGAAAAGGAGAACTGCTAAAAATTGTGAAGCATTGGATATTCAATAGTGCACAAATGTAACCTAAAAAGAAATCGAACCCATAACATATAGTTTGAACCAGTTAGTTCGATAAATTTAATCGAACAATTCCTCAGCTAACAATTGTCCAAGATGAAAATTACTTTCAACTTTTTCAAAATCTCCAAAAACTTTAATAAGTAACAATAATAATACTCGGTTTGTTAGCCATTATGAATAGTTTTATGGATCTTTAAAATCTCCAACGTGTTTTCCATTTTCCCATGTACACCTAGATTTCCTGAATCTGTAAACTTATAAATAATTTTCAGTGTATATTAATTCCTATCTGTAGAACTGATGAAAAATTATAGTGACTTTTAAATTCAGTTGGAAAGTTAATTAACACATTAGAATAACTTAGGCTTGTACAATTAGTCAAATGAAGTCATTTCATTGCCACAATACAAATTTAATATTCACAGTATCTTATTCTGTCAATACAATAACAACTGAGCTAATCAAAACGTCATTCTCGTCAAAGGATAAATCAGTCGAAAGTGTCAATTAGTTTATTAGGCTTCATAGACATCATTTTAATGTCAAAGTGGTTTTCGTTACAAACTGATTTCAGTGAGACGATCAGTGAAAAATTAGAGAATACCAATCAGCTGTTTCTTCCCAATTGAGGACTGCTCATTATTGGACACTATGATAATATCAATTATCAAGCTCAGACTATTCAAGCTTCTCAGTCAATGTGTTACATTTAGATCTCTAGAGTTTCATCTGTTGAACATCTTACAGGTTCCAATTTCATTCAATTCATAATACAACATGACTATCATTCTATGTAATATGCGACGTTTAAATTACCATGTTACAATAATAATTTTAATAGTTAAATTTATGGGTCGATATAAGCTAGACCACCATTGAAAACCTGGAAACAGTGGACAGTCGTTTCGTCCTATTATGGGACTCCTCAGCACTCAGCGTCCACAAACCCACACGCGGGATTCGAACCATAATAATTAATTAAATATTAATCAACTAACCTTGATGATTACAATGAAATTAGTATAATGTGAATTAAGAATAATATTTAAATGTGTACATGAATTTCCCCATGATAAATAAATATACATGAATAAATAACTCAATAATGTTTCTCCATGTTAACCAATCGTTTATAATTTGTATAATCATTTAATTTTAACCAATTATAATTGAGTTTTGCTTAGTCCATTGTAGGGTGAGTTAAAGAGATTCATTTTCATGGTTTGTAATATCTGAAGTCACTTCATATCAAAACAAAGCGATATTGTTTATCATTGAAACTATGTGTTGAAATGGACATGATTTACTTTGCTTACATTTATGACTGAATTCAACACTTAATGGTCACCATCTTAACCTTTAATTAATCTCTAATTAATATGACTAATAAGGATCTAATTACAACAACACAATTCCTTGTCATTTCTTAGCTTACAGTTTGTAACGAAACTTCATTCTTAATAAATAAATATTTTTTATATATAGTTGAAATCATGAGTCAATTGAAGCTAGACCATCATGGAAAACCTAGAAGCACTGGACAGCCGTTTCATCCTGCTGTGAGACTCCTCAGCAATAATTGATTAAGGAACATGATACTCTTTCGATTTATAGATGCAACATAATTATGAGTTCACACTTTGTCCTATCTGATACGTTTATTAATATTCTTTTCGTTGATAATAATTTTAAATTGGCAGCAAATCACAGTACTAATGTTGCTTTTTTATTATAAATCAGATAGACTACTACTATCAAATTTATTTACTACTTCATACCACCTTTTTTACAATATTCATTTGTACGCTAAAGGTAAATTAACTAACGAATGAGCTTTAATAACTTAATAATTTATATTGTATTACAATAAATACAGAAGAACGAAGAATAGTTCATTTGAATACATTCTTATCAGGTGATACATAAATGAGTTCAAATTATTGTGCAAAAGAAATACGAAGAATGATTTTATCATTAACGTTTAATTAATTTTGTTGTCTGGTGTTTGTGTTACAATCAGTACTTAAATCCTTAGACACCGACTTACTAACTGCATCTTAGTCATTAGATATCTTCCATTCTTGACTTCTGAAAAGTAAATAAAAAGCGAGAAATATGAAGAAAGATTTACTTCGAAGATAGTTTATATACAGAAAAAAGGTTATTCATAGTGGTATATGTGACTATGAGACTTTAGAAACTTCTGGTAACGAAACTTGTGATTGTTTAGTTTTGAAAATCAAACTATTATCAGTCGGTTTCCAGAATGCTCTCGAGAAATTCTAATAAAGCGCCGGTTGGTCAAAATGTTAGCAAAAATTATCGAGGGAACTTAGTAATAGTAAAATGGAGTCCATGCTGAAAAGACTACCTACATATATGGAAAAACGTTGAAAATGCTTCTTATAAACTTAGAGCTCCGGTTTCATTATCCATATAGTTAACGATTCTATTGTTTGGAGGACTCATTCAATTTGTTATATTGAATCGTTTCCAAAATTCCGAATAAATGAGATATTGTAGTATTGGCGTTCAAAATATTCAGCATTAGCTTTTGGAGACTGTTGGATTTCATTGAAATCATGAATTGGTCTAAGTTAAACGGATTTATGATTTCAATTAAATTCGACAGTCTCCATAACGCCAAACTGAAAATTATCATGCGCTCACTAGTGATTAGCTTCGAGAGGTAATTCTCGGAATTACAGTGAAACACAGCGATCACTGAAGTCGAACTGTATAGGGTGTGAGGCAGTTGCACACCGAACACAATGGAAGATAGTCGCACGACATCATGGATTGGTTGAATGTGGACATTGACACCGTTGAGTGCTAGCTCAGTTGTATAGATGTTAAGCGTTTGCGTGAGATACCAAAAGTCCCGTGTTTGAATCCCACGTATGGATCGTAAATGCACATTGTTGAGGAGCCCCATACTATGACAAAACGGACTTCCAGTGTCTCCAGGTTTTTAATGGTGGTTCAACGTAGATCCGTCCACATAATGTCGACGACATTCAAAAATGATTGTTAAAAAACACGTTACTGAAGTTTTGTAAGTAGTATAGTATGTTCAAAAAATAAAAGCATGAAAATGGCTTCAGAAATCTGAAAATAGATTTAACCTAGTGTAATATAGCACACGAAAAACTGAGCAGAAAAGAAATAAAGTTGGAATGTACAAAGGTTATCATCACATATTTTTAGTAATGGTAAAAAAATTTAGAAGAGTTCATCAAGATAGATTAGCTAAATAATCCACTTAACATCTAGTATTCAATAAATAACAAGTAAATTATAAAGCGGACTCATCAAAATTTGTGAAAGTTGACTACTAAAGGGGATATAACATGAGGAATCTCCAAAATTTCTATCATATATTTCTCTGTGGAATGCCTGCCTGTTACAGAGTAATAGGATCAGTATGTTTGAACCGGTGTAACACGTGGTACTATGTCAAGCGGAAATAGGTTAGTCTAGCCTCCGAACTGACCAATCTATCGGTTCTTCTCAAGCAACATTTTTACACTGTTATTTATTCACTTATTAATCCTTATTATTTTTTATATGATCGTATGTGTGTTAATCAATTACCATACTTGTAATGTGTCTGTAACTTATTTTTGTTCGATTATAAACACCGATTCAGGCTTGGTTAAAGAAAGTTGTCTAACATGCCTTCTCCAATCCGTTTCGCTTCGCTTCTTTCACTTCACCTCTTTGATTGTCTATTCTGGTCAACAACTGTACAAAATATAAGTCTTCAAAACTTCATTCTCGTGCTTGACTTATTTTAATTCCGTTATTCACTAACACGAGTTAGGTCAATAATTATATAAGAGGACTGGCGGCATATATTTTTTAATGTCAATCATAATACGATTTAAATGGAGTCAGACATCGGGCCATAAAAAGAATACTGGAGGAAACCTTATCAATTACTGAGATTGTTACTCTGAAGAAATTAAAATAACCATGGTATAATCTTAGGATGCTGACAAAAGCTCTTAGCATTTAGTAAGGTGTACGTTTAGATTAGAAAACCGTGTCACAATAACAAGACATTAGCAGTATTGCAAGATAAATTCCCTAACCATCTAGACGTTGTGGTTGAGATCTTC